AACGCGACTATAGAGCAGTAATGTAGGGGCCTTAGTAATCGAGAATGGGGTTTTGAGGGCTCCTTATTGTAATACAATAGTATACGTATTAACCCTCAAACCCTACTCTAATTATCAAGGCCCCTACAGCAGGGAACGGGTACCAAAAGGAGCAGGGGGGAGCCATGGGTGGTCTTCCCATCCTGTCACTTGGGCCCCGCTTGGGCTAACCCCACAACGTCAACGGTGCTTGTGCCAGGACAGGGAGCTTAACGAGGCTGTGCAAGGACTCTCGAAACGATTGGCTAGTCTCAGGCCAAGCTCAGATCACCAACATCCTCTGACTCACGATACCGCTTCACCGGTCCTTGATCGTGGCATCCTTTGGCAGGTCCTTGAAACGCTCGTCTCGGGTGTCGACGAACTGCTCCTGACAATCTTCCGTGTGGAGCCATTTACAGTTAAGATTCCATTGAAAACCAATCCGAGGAGACGTGAAACCTTGAAGGGAACCCTACAGTATATAAAGGAACCCTTACGTGCTTCTAAAGCCGCTGAAGTACTGAGCTGCCAGCGGCAGGAGCCGCAGGTGCGGCCCCACCCATGGAACTGAACTCCACGTACCTTGTTTCGAGAGCTACGATAAGCAACTGCACATGCTTCCTTCGACCTGTTTAGAAGACATGGGTTGAATCTTCCCCAGTTCAGAACGTCCGACTAACGTCCGGTTCCTTGCACTTGACCTCCGTGAACACCATCCGCCTGGCAGCCTCGACGAGCTCATGGATACCACACACGACCATCAGACCACCAAAATGCAGCAAAACCCACCTGCAGTTCAGCGACGCAGAACTCTAGTGCAGTTCAAGTCGTGTTGACGCAGAGTCTGCGAAGAACTGGGGGCCTTGGCCTTGGTATCCTAAACTGGGGGCCTTGGCCTTGGTATCCTAGTGCGGTCAGCCATTCTCAGGCCAGGTGCTCTACGGCAACGGGAAGCTCAGCAGGCTTGTTCCCCATGCCGCCACTGCCACTGGACTGGAAAATGCCTCCAGGTCTCTGACTGACGTGTCCGGGGGCTTAGCTCGCATCTTCGGAAGATGCTGAAGTCCTCTCTCGGCTCCGAGGGCCGCGACAGATCTTTCAGCTTGGAGTTACGTGTTCCAAGTGTTTCAGCTATCCACGAGCCCGTGGCATCTGCTGTTGCGGGCAGAAAAGCCCGTCAGTCAAGCTTTCAAGTTTCAAGTTTCGGTTGCAGCCTCAAGCAACAAGCCTTGATGTTGCAAGCCTCCAAGATCCTAGGGACATCGACTCTTCAACTTCAGATGTCTCCAAAGCGCCTGCAGAGTTGTCGAGGATCTTGTCATCGAGCAGATCCTCACGTTTCATCTCTTTTTTGAAGCAATGGACTCGTGAGATACCAGCACACATGACACTTCTCTTGCAACCAGGTTTCCTTGAACAAAATAAACAAAACGGCAACTGAAAACTGACTCGCATCAGGGCCCGCAGTGCGGGCAAGTTTGCTATACTATGGGTCCACTTGGAATCTTCGTGCCGAATCTTTCGATGGGTTGGGCTTCTGGTGAAGTGCAGTTCGAGAGTTGGACTGCTTGTGATGTGGTGGTCTGCGAATATCTGCAAACCATGAGGGCCTGGTGAAATCGCCCGAGCTTCCCCACGTCCCTCCCAACGGGACACGCCACAAAACGATTCTCAAGTAATTAGCAATGTAGGCAGCTTAGCCAATGACAAGACAGGATAATGCAACATGCGGCTCGTAAACGGGACTGCGCTAACTCCAAGCCCTGAAAATTTGCTCAGAAGACCGATCCATCCGAGACTGCGGGGTCCATCCGCCCATCTCTGCAGCCAAAGCTTCGAGGATGTCCCAGAAGTCCCAAGTGCTGACATCTTGGCCGGCTACTGACTTCACCTGAGAGAGTTTTGGGGGCTCGCTTTGGTGTGTTCCCCAACAGCGCAATGGGAAATCCTATTTCAACTGCACAAAACGTTAACGACTACTGCAACTGCAGTCATTACTTCTACCAGTAGATGTGTACTCTTGTTGCTTATGTTGCCTCTACCATGACGACTATTACTACCAGGTCGCCGCCATGTACTGCTTCACGCCACCGGTCCAGGCCTGACCCTGTGGGTCGCCAGGATACCTGCTAGGTTTAGGGTTTCGGGTGTCGGGTATAGGGCTCAGGGTAGTTTTTGCCCCGAAACTAGCAAGGACAAAGCCCGCATTGCAGGGTAACTCCGAAGAACAGTCGACTACATCTTCACGGTTAGGGTATAGGGTTGATTGAGGTCAGGTCACGGGGTCGACTTACTAATACTTCTAGTCTTTATCTTGTTCTCTTGTTCTTCTCCTTACCATTCTTGTATCCAAGAAGAGCATTCGTGTGGGTTTGTACGAAAACAGCATGGCAGATGTAAGCAGGGCACCGGGAGTTCTCGTTCATCTGCCAGACCATGGCCCCCTTTCCGCTGGTGCTCGGAGCGTATGCGAGCACGCCGAAGGGCCTCTTCTTGTACCTCATCTTGGAATCGCGCATTACATTGTGAAGATCACCGTACACGCACACGAACATGCACGCGCGGGTCTAACCTGTAACTGAGGTATATGTGTGATATGCATGAAAGAAAGAAAGGCAGAAAGAAAAAGAGAGAGAGAGAGAGTGGGACGACCACCCAAAGCAAACAACAAACAAACAAAGAGAGGAGCAACACCACCGAGACACCAAAACACAGTAACATCACATTCCAGTAGTCTGTCCGAGTAGCTCCACCGTGACGGAACTTGCCACGCTGGAGGCGTCGGAGGCATCGAAGGTCTTTGGCTCCCGAACCTTGTTGCCTGGCACAAGTAAAGTCAGTTAAACATGATCGAGGTTCCGGTTCGGGAATTTCGGTCCAATGAGCAAGGGGGCCGTATATGACAATGCAGTTGAAATTGTCGAGCAGGAAAATGTGTAGAAAGGGCAGCACCAGATACTGTCAAATGAAAGACTCAGACAACAGACACGGCAAAACTCAAACAGTGAAACAATGTGAATATCTCGATAAACGGAGGCAGTGACAAGCCGAAACGCGAAATCCAGAGACGTCCGAAACCTGAACGCACGCATGCAACCAGAAACGCTTACAATTTACCGTCGTCCTCAAGTCCTCACGGCAACGAAGCAAAGCCAAGTCGAGGTGGTGAAACCCGTCAGCCCAGAGAGGACTGGCATATGAACTTTCTTCTCATCCCTGCAAAATGGTTTCGGGTAATTACCAGCAAGTATTTCTCTTCTAGCGGTTCTGGTCCATGGATGTGCGCGGGACACCGAATCTTCATCTGCGAGAGGATTGCGAGAAATGCTCCGAACCTCCTACTTGGACACCAAGTTCAGCATGACTGGGCTCCCGCACCCTCACTGTCTCGCATGGAAGCCGCCAACGCCACGCGCGGTGCAGTTCGTGTTCGAAGCGATGTAGAAGGCACGGAGGGAACGAAGCCCAGCGCCTGTTCAAAACATAGCGCCAATGTGCATAGTTCCCCAAAGGCTCCATGTACCTTTATAGTAGATACCTAAGCCTTAAAGGGCTCCCTATATCTTTCTATCTATGTTTGCTGGTTTCTCTCCTCAGAAAGCCGGCCTGCGCGGCCAGCCGTCCCACTGTCAAACAGGCAACGAGGGCCACCACCCCGGGAAGCAGTGCCGGAGACCGGCGGGTTGCGGCAGTCGTCATGGCCTTGTCGCGCGTGTCTTTCGCAGCTGCCGCATGCAACTGTTTGGTACAGTAGTGCTTATGCGACCCCTGCCTCCGCGCTAGGAAACAGGGGAGTGAGAGAGAAAGAGAGAGAGAGAGAGAGAGAGAGAGAAAGAGTGAGAGAGAGAGACAAAGAGAGACAACTGGGAGCGAGGGAGGGAGGGCAACGAATCGGAGGAGACACGGTGAAAGCAAAAGCGCACAGATAAATCACCCATGCCTGCGCTCGTACATCGACAAGCACATGTAGTTGCATCAAGGTGCTTCTGATAAGCCGTCTGAACAAGTGCCCTGTGTGTCAACACGAAGATGCTTATTGGCTTACAATACCCTTGGTCCTCAGGCAGGTACCTGAGCCTTTAGTTCGGGATCCGAAACCCAGGCAACCCGGGGCGGATTGGTGGAACTCACAGATCGGGAGCATTTCAGCAGCAATAGCTTGGGGGGCGAGGCAGCGGTTGCGGCTCAAACGAGAGTTCCAGGCTGGACCAGTAAGAGGTGGTTGTAACCTAAATGCGAAACTACGTGGCAGATTCGCTGCATGATCTGTGCCCGCACATGCCGTTCGGCTAAGAAGCAGGGACGAGGATGTCGACGTAGCACTCTGATGGCACGCGCCTTGAGCAAAATTGTGCCGCGTATAGCAACAGAGTCCTTGCTGTCAAGGTGTGCATTACTACCTATAGTCTCCATTGAAGTTCGTTTTTGGGTTACCTTATAGGATCCTATAGTTATATATTTGGTTAAACCAAAAAACGGAACTACAATGGAGACTATAGGTATGATCTGCGTGCCATGTTGCTGTGGCCTGCTGCCTCTCGGGGCAGGCGGTAGGAACATGTTGCACACGGCATCATGAGTCGAAACAACCGTGATCCCAAGAGAAAGCATTGTCAAGATCGTTCAACCCATGGAAACCCCGGAAAAGCGGAAGCCTGGATGTCCAAGATGTATACAGACCCCAAACCCAGACTTCACACAAGGTTGAAAGTGCGAAACAAACCTCAACAAATAATACACACACAGACTCTCTCTCCCCAGAAACCCACACAGCCCAAACATCCCGAACGATCCCGATTCTCTTAAACAAAGGTCCGTCTTGGACCCGTCTGATACCAGTGACGTGCTCTTTTGCCGAATCCCAGACCACCTATAGTCTCCATTGCAGTTCCTTCTCGGGGTTGCCTTATAGGATCCTAACAATATATTTGGTTACACCAAAAGAAGGAACTACAATGGAGACTAAAGGCATCTCTTGCCTGTCCACCAAGCTCACCAGGGCTGCCTCCCGATGCAGAAAACACAATCTGCCAAGCCCCAGCTCGCTTGGTTTGTATAGGTACTGTTTCAGATAATAAGAATATTAGTAATAGTAATATAATACTAACAATAATTACTAATAGTAATATAATGATAATAATAATTACTAATAACACTCATGAATGATCCTTCTTCAAGGCTGGAGTAGGAGAAGGGGGCCTCTAAAGGTTTGGACTCCATTGTTCAAGGATCTACTGGGCCTGTATGCGCTATCCCACACTCGTGCGAAGATGAGCGCGCACAAGCCCACTGACACTGAGAGATGCGAGAGCGTGCTGCGGACGCCGAAGAATATCAAGGTGAAGATACAGAGCTTGATAAGATGATATAACGTTTATAATGCGTTCCCCGAAGTAGACGCCTTGCAGATGCTTAGAACACCCAGGTGATACGAGATAGCCCCGGGACCAAGTAATGAGCTTTTGCATGAACCAAGTCCAGCGCAGGGATATGGCCATTTTGTGGGAGATGCCACCAATCAAAGACACCAGGTTGATCAAACAGGGAAAAAGCCAGGCGGAACTTTCTCTCCTGGACACTGAATAGAAAAGACCACGTTCGACAACAAAAGAACGCGCCACACGTCGCTGCATACTCACACATAACAGGTGCCAGCCTCAGCGGCGAAGACCCCATCCTAGAAGCCCATTGGAAATGTGGTAGTTTGCTGTCCTTTTAAAACTAAGCTCATGATCAATTGAAGGCATCTGGCCCGAAGCTTTGTCAACCCCCCGGTACGACGGTCCGAGCCCCTCGCCGCAAAGGAGAGGTGTGCCAATTCGAAGGGCTGCAGGTCACCTGCAGTTAGGGGAAGGTTTGGTGTGTCTCAGTGAGGTCGTATCCTGCAATGCAGGTGCAATTCAAGAGCCGAGAACAGCCCCAACCCCCGTCGAAACCTTCAAGGGATGAGCTGTCTCGAGAGGCCAGAAAACAAAATGCAAAGAGTGCCCTGCTTCTCTGCGACTGGTGTGATCATGGCATTGTTTGGCTGCCAAACAAAAGCTTCAACCTCTATGCGAATCCAAGTTCGGGGATGTGAGAATCTACAGTGCCCAGACAAGCCCAAGCATCGTAAGCCAAGGCCTCCACTCGTGCATCGGGGTGGATTTCAGTCTAAAACATGCTAACACAGCCACCTGAAGAGCGTTCGGCCTCAGCATAGCCCTTCCGGCGTCCCCTAAAACCCACAGCCCTCGACCGTAAGGCCGTCTCTTACTCCCTCAGACCCAAGAATACCCCATGTCCCTATGTAAACCCTACGAAACCCCCAAAAAACCCAAAATCTGAAGCCCAAGAACCCACCCTCTCAGAGTGGGGCCGTGTTCAGCTCCTGTGCGGTGCACCGCTTCGGCCAACGCAGCAGAAGCCAAGCACCGCTGGCCCTGGTGGCGTCTTGCTCGTGCTTTCCCCTTAAGAGGCGTCCTAAGCCTTTGGGTTCGTGCTTAGGGTACTTTACGCCCTTACAGCTCGGACTCGTGTGGTTCATTCATGGCTCGCAAATATCGGCATGATGTATACTACACAGTACATACAAGGAACGAATAGGGCGATTTAGCGTGAGGGTTCTGTAGAGAGCAGGGTTTGAGGCGGTGTTGCTATGGCGATGTTCGACTGCTATCGTATTGCTAACCCGATTGTGGCAACTCATGGCAGTGCTTTTGCTCCTGTTCCTGCTCCGAGCTGTCTTCGCGAGTTGGCGGTTTCATGATGAAGTGATAGTGTAGTAGCCTTGGGTAATAGTAAAGCTGGTTAACACTTGAAGGCATGGTTTGAGGCGGGTGTGTGAATTCTGGAGCAGGATGTCGGACTCCAGATGCAGGTTCCGACACTTTGGGCCGAATTGCCTAACCCTGGGCCATGAACACAGAGAACGAAACTGCAGATTCTACCCTAAATATGCCTGAAGTGAAATAACACAATCAGCACCCACAGCCATAAGCCGAAGTATGCGTGCTCCTGGCTTCGTACTTAGATGGGGGACACCAACACTGAAAGTGCGCAATGGCTTATTAATCTGAGTGCCCATTAGCAACCATGTGTTATAGTGTAAAGCCACTGATCGAGATCGCAACACAAAACATCTGAGCGCCGGGCAAAACGTCCCGCGGCCAAAGCCAAACGGGCGAGCTGCGGCAAAGGGCTCTGAACTGACTGTCTGACTGAACAATGGCATCAACATTGTCCCAACTTTTTGCAAAACCAGTACTCATCAAAAACTCATCATAAATAAATTTGGCGCTTGTCCGCCAAAGCCAAGCACAACACGGCTTTTCAATATTTGTGGAAAAAGCAGCAGGAGGAGCTCTTCTGCGGGAGAGAGAGAGGGAGAGAGAGAGAGAGAGATCAAACCGATCTCTGCTCTCGACAAATCTAACAGGTCCCGAGGCCGTAGTTCAGTTTCGGCCCTTCCAGGACTATCTCTGGATCTCGTAGGCCGGGAGAATTTTGATTCTTGGGACGTAACTTCTACCAATCCCCTCACTTTGTGACTTTCATTTAGAGTCAGGAACCCCGGTTGATTATTCTAGCATGGCCCCTGCGTTCTCTTGCCCTCTCTACCTCTCTGCATCTTGCCTTTCTCTCACACCCCTAACTTCAAACGAAAGGTGGGCCTGCCCGGTGGAAAGGTGCTGCAGGTGCGCACCTTGACGAGAGCCCGTGGTGCTTTACATGTCCATAAGCATGTATACAAGCATGCAGGAAACCTATACATATTATAGGTCATACTTGTATCTAAACAACTTTCACACACACACACACACACTACACGCACACAAACTGATGTTTATCGGTGTAAGCTTCATATGTCGCGATTGGTAAGTTCTGCAGCGTCCCCACAAGCACAGTAAGGTGTGAGGGTGTTGGGGGTTTGATGCGTCTGGCATGGTTTGGTGCCCCTCTGGTGCCCCCAAATTCACAGAACCTAGAGCACGAAAGCCTACTTACAAGCGAAACCCGTTCCAACCAAGCACGGCATAGCATGGCCTGCATATGGTCCCGTAACGAAGGTCTGGCCTGTGCACAGGCACCAAAATCAAGGATGTAGGGGCTGACATCTTCCAGTCTTGCGCGGAGGCTTGATATTTGTGGCGACTGGTAGTTGCGAATGGCGCTTTGGAACGTGCAGCAACGACGGAACACCAGCACAGAAACGCGGGGCCATCAACACAAAACTAGTTCACATCACCGAAGCCTATAGAGAACAATACAGAAAACTGCATGCAAAAACACATCAAACGCTTGGAGGATCGTACGCCTAACCACTTGAAGGCTTTGCTGCCGCAGCATGATGAGCTGATGAGTCTTCCATGGTGTCTTCTTCCACGACCGGCCTGCAGTTTCCAAGAGGTGATCGTCCCAAACATCCAGCAGCATCACGGAGCAAAGAACCTGCAAACAACTTGGCGAGACTCCAGTTCGTTACTTACAGTCATAGCAGTCGCTGCGCACTTGCGAAGTTACAGCGGGAAGCCGATGTCGGTTTCGAGGGACCTGACATGGCAAGCCTCGACCAATGCAGCCGGCTGCATCGGCTGGCCTTCTTGCAGCCTGCTTTCGAAGAGGCTCGATGGCTTCCGCATCGCAAGCTGAACATCGAGGGTTGACATTAAACTTAACCAGTCTATCCAGGGCAGGCCCCGGGGGATACGATGCCCGTGGCCTAGGTATGCCCACAGTTCTGTGGGCATCAAGATAGCAGCGAGAGGGTGAGCCAAACCCTAAACCGCATACCCTAAACCCTAAACCCTAGACCCTGAACCTTATACCCCAAGCCCTAAACCTTAGACCCTAAACCCCATACCCTAAACCCTAAACCCAAAGCCAGCAGAAACTGAGGCCCGAACCGCTGCAGCAGGGAACGAACCTGTAGCTCCCAGGCTCGATCCCCGCAATATACGGGGGCCTTAATAGTTAGAATAGGGTTTCTTGCTTCAAAGGGGTCATATAGTCTTTTCGGGACCTCTAGTAGGGTTCTACATCAGGGGCCTTAATGATTGGAATAGGGTTTTGGGGCCCAGTATACTATAGCTATGATAAGGAAACCCCAAAGACAGTATTGGTAGTTACTGAGGCCCCTATTTTAGGGGGCTTGAATAGTATGATGATGTAGGGACCGAGACGAGTTCCAGCTTTGTTCGTCTGGATTTCGTACAAAGCTGGGACCTCTTAGAGACCCGGCCGTTACAGAAAAGCTTGAACAAGGGATGTACAAGAATACTATATGCTTGCGTTATATTTGCCGTGAATTCGTCCAGACTGCTGCAAACAAGAACAAGTGCTGCACGAGGAGTGGTGGACATGTCTTGCAGTAATTACAGCCCAACAACTGAAAACTGTAGTGCGAACTGACGAAGGTTCCCAGTTCAAAACATGTTCTTCACTCACCCCTGTGGCGGTGATAACCTTCAACCCGACTAACCAAACAGCGTCCAGTCCTTAATCGCACCAGTACAGTCCACATCAGGTATGCTCTGAGGCCCATGGCCGCATCTTTCCTGCCGGGGACCTCGGACCACATGGGCAAAGAAGGGATGTCAAGAGTCCGGGCTTCACTCTCGGGCCACGGTTTAGGGTTTAGGGTTTAGGGTGGCAAACCAAACAAGGAACACACCATAGAACACACCTCTCTTCGTTGCAAAATAGCGGTTAATCCCTTCCCTCCCTCCTAACTAGAACCCCCCCTCCTCCCTAAACCCTTTTTGGCATCCGGTCTGCAGCGCCTCTACCGGGGCCACCCTCAAGCTTGTTCATGAGGAACGACTATTAGTTGAAACATATTTGAGTGTTTGTTTGGAGCCAGCATGCGCCCGCCCTAAACCCTAAAGCCGTATACCCTAAAACCCCAAAACCATAAAGCATAAGCTCTAAACCCCTAAACCCTAAAGTCCTGGTCTCTTCGGTCTGACTAGCACTGCTGTAGTCTTTGGCTCTATTAACACTAATGCAATCCTAGGCCCCCTTCATGTTCTTAACTGACCTTCAATTATGTGCGCGAAACCGCAAAATTCCGGGGCCGAGCTTTGTTATATTAGGGGAAGGTTTATAGTTTCGGCGCTCACACTCGGACAATCCAGGCGAGGCATATGGCTTGCAGTTAGGGGAAACGATTACTGTTGTACAGACACCCGTCATACGTGCATGCATGCATGCATACATACAAACATACCAGCACATACATTCGTACATGTAGATGTGAGCAACCCTGTCACGGTTCATGGAGAGAGAGATGGGCTCGCTGCGAGGCGGGCCAGGGCTGCCAGCACTGTGCAGGTCTGCCCTGTCCAGATGCGGTGGACGGGGGGGGGGTAAGGGTTTGGGTCGGGGGAGGAGGGGAGCGCGGGTGTGAGGGTTTGGGTAACGAATTTCGTGGGCGGCTCAAGGGCTCGTGCTTGCAGGTCTTCTGACATGGCTTGCACAAATCACGAAAACACAAGCAAACTCGGAGCCTGAAGCCCATCAAAGGCAAACACACAGGCTCAATTCACTCACCCCAAGACTCCAAGACCGACTACTTCGGTTCAGAAACGAAGCCTCAAGTCCAAAACTCGTGGCAACCCGGGACCCCATAAGGTCCTGCACTGACCAGGACTTCGATGCTCTTAACAAGAAAGAGGGTGTTTCCCATCGGCAGACAGCCTGGTGTCAGCCTGGCGGCCATCGTGGTGCAAACCGAAGCGGCAACCTGGCACGCAAAGACGCAAAGCTTAATTCCAGGTGTTAACGAAAGTAGTGCTGGGCCGGGTTCGACCAAGAAACGACTATACAAATATTTTGCATACAAGAGCCTGACGTAGAGGCTGCATGTCTGAATTGGGCCATGCCATTCACAGCAGCCATCTCCATCTCCATCTCTAGGGTCATCAAGCGAGAGCTGGACTCGACACTGCACCCACAACCCCTGACCTTTAATCTACAACTACCGCTCGAAAGACCAACTTGCCACCTCGAGCGCCCGTGACTCATCGGGAGATGCCGCCCTGGGGCCACGACGGCTGATGCCAGGTCCGTATCGTGTGCAGTGCAAGGCTATGGAAAGCTTTGTGCAACCCGCATGGGCTTCTGTTTGCGTTGCAACAGTCCGTCGTAAGACATCAGGATGACCATCTGCACGGTGGACTTTGGACTTCGTTGCCGGCAGAAACCACACTCACTGTGGTATGTTCTATGGATTGCAAACTTTGCTACGGAACCTTCATTATTGTGCCCTGCAGCCAACTGCTCAGTGCCCCGCATGCTGTCGGCCGTGTGTTTCTTTGCTTGTGCCAGCGCCCAAAGTGCGGCGGCCTGGGATGAAGAGGAATATCTATCCAGCGATTCCTGTATGTGAACGTGAGAAGACGAACGTTGAAGGTTGCAAAATGATGTGCAAGACTGAGGCTGGCAGCCAACATAATCAATCGCTGTCAGGGTCTGATTTCAAGGAACACCCAGCACCACAAGCCATACGAACGTTAAAACCCCGAGAGAGTATCCGAAGCGTCGCTTTGCTGCTTGAGCCGAGGTGCTGGCAAGCTCGTCTGCAGAAAGCCTGGTGTAGAGGCTCGCTTGGGGTGTTCAGACTTCGAAGGTTTCGGCGCTCATGCTCGGACTCTCCTAGGCGGGCGGTTGTCAAAATCATGGTCCTTTTTGGGTCACGATTCATGAAAATACGGCATCTATTGTTTAGGGTACCCCAAAAGGGACCCCTAATTTTGATAACCACCCAGGTGGTGGTATTTGCGCTTGCGGACTTAGGCACTGATTTGTGAGTTGGAGAAGATGATGCTTTCATGGCATGGTGACGTGATATGCATGCATCTTTCAGCAGGCGCTGAACCCAAAGCCGCGGGTCAAGCTGAACAGCCGGGGGCAACAGCTGATCTTCGCCGACATTGTGTGGCACGAGATGGGACAAGCAAAGATGCACGACAACTGTAGAAAGGACAAGCATCGTCAGAAGCAGCGTGTAAGCAAGGCAGCAATGACCATAGGATCCGGCACATCTACGCAAGAACTGGAACAGAACCATGACTATCTGCAGTGATGATCTGTTCATCTTGAGGCTGTTGACCATGCCGGCGGCAGGTGTCATGATTCCAATACAGCGGTCTGAGGAATCGCAGCCCGAAATCAAATGTCGCGATCCACTGTTCATGAAACAAATATACCCGAGCTCATTTGCATGCAAAAGCTTGGGTTCCGACCGCTGCCAAGCGCCTGCGGAATCGAAGCGCCTGGGCCCAAATAAGCCGAGTCGACTCCAAGTCCCAGTGCTCACATGCTCTATACATATATGGGAGTTTCCGAAAATAGGGGACCCTATAATACCCTGAATAGTAGGATCCTTATTATAAGGACCCCCAAATAATTTTCGGAAACTCCCATATAATTACATAGATAATATAGAGGCATACTCACATACATTCATACATTACATTAGAATCGTCGATTATTTGCATCACAGTACATGACCTTACATACACACATACATGTACACGTACACATCCCCCGTACATGTACACATACACAGACATGCACATACATAAACACGTATGCATACATTTAACATCTATGTTATATATGCATGATATGGGGGGAGAGCTTAGGGCAGATAGAATCGCAGCCCCGAGGTTGGACTCTAGGCAGGGCAGAGCAGCCAGGATACTATTTTGGCACAGGAGCTTCATGGCTGTCACTAGTGGAGTCTGCAGGGGGTCTGCGGCGAGCGTGTTTTCGGGATTTAAGACATAATGCTCTTGCACATCGTCGTTTCGCTTTTATGCTACCACTTCCTCACTCCAAGAGCTTGCTATAACTAACAGTCTGAGGAGGATGAGCAAAAAAAGGAGCCTTAGGAATTAGAACAAGGTAATAGGGCCCACAAAACTATAAATATAATAAGGGACCCCTCACAATAGTCTTGGTGATTGTTTAGGCCCCTATAGTATATGGAAGCAGAATGAATCTTGGACGATACGCCCATTGCACTGCTTCCCCCGGAGCAGGTGTTTGGGATGAAGGCTGCCGTCGTTCCGGAGTTTGGAAGGGAGCTGCCCCGCTCCATTTTTTCCGTTGTCTAGTTTCGTAGCTCTGGTGGGGTTGAGGGGCTGCAGGGCCGCGTGATCCCAACTGCGGGATCAGGTGAGAAACGTTGTACAAACGAGTGTAGACCGAACTTATCTACACAAGCATCATTTCGGAGAACGCCTGAGGCTCCACAACTCTTTTGCTGCTGCTTCTCTATGCAACAGTTGGTGCCATCCGGCTTGCATTAGACTGGCCAGCGGAGTCTTGCTGAGCCATGCCAAGCTCTACAAGCTCAGTTCCTCTTTCAGGAAGTTTGGCGCACGTGCCCCTGCTTGGAAGTATATTGAATCGCTGCATATCAGCTTCGAAATTGTCTACATGCGTGGAGATGACCGCCCGAACCCTAACACCACTAACTCGTAGTTGAGATGGATGAATGAGGCTGACCAATCCCCGAGGGAGTGAGCTCCTAGCTTCTTCTCGTTGCCTTCTTGCAGCTATTGATGGAGACTATTCACCTTTGTGTCTCTACCACTTCGACGATCTTACTTGATGCCACAGACTCTGGATGGCTCAACGCACAGAGCCATGCTACATGATGTCAGCTGTCGATTACGCTCGGACACGTGCCTGATGTGGCTTGGCGCTCCAACAAGTTACTAAGAATCCCACAGCCATCCATCCGTCCGTGCAAACGTTTTGAGGCCTTGTGCTACAGAAGTTTGAAGTTTCATTCCACTACGACACTACGGCCCCGAAAGGACAGCCCAAAGATGCTAAAACACATCATCGCACTCGAACCACTAAACCACAGCTGATGGTTCAGTAGAGCCTACATGAGCAGATACAGGATCGGGGGCGAGGCTTGCATGAGATCTGCGACTCGAGCTCACGCATGTTACGTTGGACAACCCCCCACGAGGCCATAAAACCCGGAAAACATGTTATTGCACCTCTGTGGCTAGAAACCTAAGATCCGGCCTTGTGACTATACTGATGGCGGAGGATGGTGTGGCATAGTTTCGCACTGCGCTACCAGCCTCCCTTTCGCAGACTGGCGCGCTCAGCTGATCCGGTGGTATCACACGGCGGGGGTCGGATCCCTCGGCCACACACAAGGCTCATGACAACCGCAATGTACGAGTAAACACTCGCTGGCGCTGAGCTCGAGACACAGGTAGTAAGTCTATGTCCATCTAAAGTAGAGTTTGTGGTATACGTACATACATCTCACTCGCTGCGGCTACACACATTTACTCATCAAGCACACGTGTACAACATTATATATAGATGCTCACATACTGCCGCCCCCCCAATGCACCTTGCTTGTATGTCCTTCTAGCAGCCTGCGGCAAGTAACTTGCAAGTGTGTTTAGCATCGTCAGGGCTAGCACCAAAAAGCAAACTCAAGTTCGTTCGTGTTCTGCAGCTGCGTCGCTTCTTGGTCCAAACATCCTTGGGAGAAGGCGAAGATGCACCACACATGCTACGCAGACTTACGTAGCTGCTTCTTGATTCTCACCGACCTCTCATGCTGCCGAGCCACTACCTGAAGAGTGTGCCCCTCGAACATGCTGCCATTGAGCATGGCAATCCTTAAAGGCGCGAAGAAGCAATGAGGAGGCTCCATTAGCTTGAATAGGTCAAGCGATGTGTTGTTAAGGAGCTTCCGAACAAAGGTGCTCCCTGGGATTCATTCCGGAAAGAGCGTGGCTGAACTTGCCTCTACTGCCGACGTGCGAATGTGATTTGCGCAACAAGGTCACACGACGGCTGCAAGTTCCTTTAATTTAACGAACCCCGTCGGGACCCATGCAAAAGCGCGATCGGCCTAAAGCACAGCAGACTCATCGCAACACTGCTGAGGCCTTCTGCTTATACGCAGTTCGAGCGGCGCGTTCTGACACTCCTCTGGGGTCTTGAAGACGGCATGGCCTTGAATCACGATGCTACTTCGAAGCATTCCTTTGCTAGCCTATCGACGGGTCTGCCTCTCCTGCTTGTGCTAACCATGACGCAGCGAGTTCAGCTCTCTCTGCTTTCCAGCTTTCTCGTTCTGCATGGCCAGACCGGCCGTAGAGTTTAACATCCTCAACATCCTGCTAGGCACAACCACCGAAACCAGCAAATGCACATCGCTTGCAACGCAAGGACATCAGCCTAAACTGCATACCGGGCGGTAGAGCACATGTGGCACCTGGTAACATGAACTCCAAGACATGAAACCACAAAGCTTTGCTTTCTGCCTTTATGCCCGACGGGCCTTCGCCCTTCCAGCCGACTTCCGCCCAAATACATTCTCCGGCTTGGCACATGTGTTCCTGCAGCTTCCGTGAGATGGAGATAACATCGTGGTCGCAAGTATGGTGGAGATTTCTGCAGTCTGCTACGGCTGTGGTGTTGGGTCTTGAGCCGTTGCGAGTCCACTGATACTATACTGGTACTGTACCGTACATCTCTCAGCCCACCGTCAGCTGGTTGCACAGTCAAAGAATGATGGGCTGTTGGGATTCCATGCGGTGGTGACAAAAATTCGATGTGACGACAGGGGGTGGATGTAAAGCGCATCCCCGGCGGAGCCTGTAGCCCCACCCCTGAAAGCGGATTTATGTACCTCAAACCGCAACCCTCAAAGTTCATAAGCCTCGTCCCCCTAAAACCAGAAATACCCCAAACTCTCAAAACCCAAGCTGGCCAATCCTTGAGCTTCTTGTTGGTCTCGACGCTGGTCGACTCGGCCGGCCAACCTCCGATCCTTAGACCACGCAAACTTGAAACCTTCTTTATGATTCTAAATATTGTGATATAGTATTCTTAAGGCACTCTATAGTACTTAGATGTACTTAGTGTAGCAAATGGTGAAACGTGTAATACAAGCATACTACAAGCACACTACATACTGTAACATCTCATTGAAGCCTGTCAGGTCAGTGGGACTCATGTTTCCTTGGAGTTTGTGGCTGAGTTGCCAGGTGCTGACGAAATCATCTTTCGCAACGCTTGCCTCGATACACAACCTCATGAGATCAGATTTCCTGAACCCCGTACACTGCCCGAACATAAGTGGCATCATCGAAGTATTGCCGCGAAGGGACCAAACCTTCTTGTCTGCCGGCACTCGGTACCTGAGATCCGACAGTTCGTCTGCATTCAACGAGTTGCTTGAACTACTTCCTGCCAATGCCAGACTGGTCTGATGATGACGGGCAAGCCTGGCGCTGGATTCAGTACCTGAAGTCTCACCAGTAGTCCCACCAGTTTCCTGTTGCGGAGGTGCCCAGCTAGCCTTCTACCATGCTTGAATCTGTTGGCCAGCTATGTGCCCAAACGACACGCTTCTCCACTGTAAAGTCTGGCGTAGCTGATGCGTCTATCTGAAGGACGCTGCCATAACTCAAGCGAAGCTGGGTTAATCTGCTGAGGCTTAACATGCAACAAGCTCACACCAGTGCGTCACCATTTGCGGCCAATCAGCTGCTTGCCTTTGCCCTTGCCCTTCGACATCATCACCTGTCCAAATTCGCAATGATCATAACGGTTGCCATAAAACATAGGATCGTAACTGTAGTCTAGATAATAACAGTTGTGCCTGATTAGACCAGCGACATCTTTGTGGTTCGAAACCCTCGTGTCGTTTAGCTGTGCGCCTCCAGACTGTCGAAGTAAGCTCTTCTACACCTGCATCCTCCTGGAGCTCTGGATCCCGAAGCCTTGAACCGCTATAGGACCTTAAAGCCCAAACTGGACCCATCAAGACCAGAAGTACGGTTTCGATTCACATCCGGCATTAGTCTTCTGAGCTTGCTACTTGCACATCAGGGGACAGATCACACGTGACAACATCAGGAAGCACCAGCACTAAAGCAACCAACCAAATATGTGGGCGTGTAGAAACATCGAGCCTCGTCCCCAGGTGGCAGTCCGGAGCACGTGGGGCTCCGTGTAGCACTAGCATCTACTGTTTCAAAACATGTCGGTATGTTTCATCTGGGTATGACAAGCTAGGTTACAGGAGGCAGCGACGATGCATGGCAACAAGGCATCACAAGTACCAGATTCACAATATGATAGAACTACGGTTTAGGTTTACACTCTCGCAACTCGGACTCGCCAGGGTTTACTTGGAGGTTCAGGGATAGGTATAAGTGGGGTTATAAGTCTCCTAATATGGGTTACAAGTTTAGCTACCCTACTTATAACCCTACTTATAAGTACCCATGAACCTCCAAGAAGGGTTTAACATGGAGCTGAGGGAGGTTGGGGGTTGGATTCTGGCCCACCTTCATCATCGTCATGAAGTTGTAGGGCATTCCCCAGCCCTTGCCGCCCTTGCCTTGGCTGTTTCGGCCCGATGTCTGCCGGTGTCAGGTTGAATATAGGGGCCTTATCAATTGGAATACGGCTTTGGGGTATTTTATACTATATTCATAAAGAAACCCCCCGAAACAGTATAGGCGATTACAAAGGCCTGTGTATTAGGCTTCGGTTTCTGACCTAGAGCTCCGGAATTTAGCCAGCCAGTTGCGTGGGGTCTGGGCAGGCTGATGGCTCTGTGATGTGTCCCAGCTTCGCATGTCAACGCATGCCAAGGCTCATGCCAAGGCTCAGTCTGCAAATGCCCGGAATGTTTGCACGGATTTTTGACTAGCAGCTCAACAACGAAGGCCGAAATCAGGACCATTTCAGACAGTCGTGCCGCCTCAAGACCACCCATTCTTCCCCTTAAACTTTCAGGGACAATCTCTGCTGCAACAGGCAATGACAAGGTGCCCTTGCCGTCACTGCCCATGGTGATTGATGGGACGAAAGGATCTCAAAACCAGAGCCGGATAGCAGCTGCGGAAACAAGCACAGGATGGGCAGTTGTTGCGGAATGTTCGAAGCTGTGCTTGAAACGAAGACCTGGGAGTTGCTTAGAATATCCCAAAGTTGGGGAAAGCAGGAAATTGCCACATGAGGGAGAGGCAAACATCTATACGGGCTCTGCATAGCAGACAACGAGCGGATGCTTCGTTGAAGACTTCACACCGGGGCTGCGACTGGAAGAACAGCTGCTTCAGAACCTTCGTGTCTTGGCCCAACCTCGCTTGAAGCACTCTTGCAACATCTAGGACATCCACAAAGGCCACACAAGACTCCTAAACAAACCCAGCCCAAAACCCAAAGCTCTAAGCTTTGCCCTGAATGAACCCTATACTATTGGTCCTATTGGTGCTATTACGAAAATGTCAGAAATCCTGAAATGCAGGGGGGTCCCGATAAGAGGCTTTCCAAAAGGAGCCGTGCCCCCTCACCCACCTGCTTCTTTCAGCTGTGAACGGCCGAAGTAGCCGAACATACCTTGTGTTACCATAAGTTAACAATACTGCTGTACTTCGTTACTGCTGCGAACATGCTACCACCTGCAGTACTACTTCAAGAGCATACTGCACAGTACTACTATATTCTGGTACTACGAGACTACTACTATGTGCACAGCGCTACTACAATGCTCATTCTTTATAGGTGTTTCCGAGAATAGGGGTGCCATATTTTGTAGTCCTTATAATAAGGATCCTATTCTTTAGGGTGCCATATTAGGGTCCCCTATTTTCGGAAACTCCCATATGAACCACCCTCCCAAGAGCGAGGAGCCTTGCAACAGACGCCGCGACCGAGGCCATCTCGTCTGCTCGAAAGAAAGGGGCCTCGCTTTCAGCGCTTTCGGGGTCTTACCGAATCAAGACAAACCCACAGGGTCCAAGTATCATTGTGGTATATACTTAGACACCCAAAATACCCTATAAGTATATACCATCATGATACTTGGACCCTTTGCGAAAATGTAGCCCAAAGTCTTCTTCCTAGTACGGTCCCAAGGCGATACTCAAACCACTCAGCGAAAGATTCAGGATTTAGAGTTTCCACGCTCGCACTCACACAAGGCAGGCTTTCGAACTCAGGGTGCATCGGGCCCCCGCATCTCTGAGGAATGTCTGAAGTGCCTAGATCTGCCTATAACCGATGCCTCGAAGTTGTCCTGAACCCAAGGCCCCGAGCTGTTTAACTCGAAAAACGCCGGCCCTACACTAAAGTCCGAAACAGCAAGTCAAGCGCGAATCACCAGATCCGAACCGACTTCGAACTCTCACAAAATGCTGCACCTGTAACCTAGGTCTCCTCGTCCTTGATACTGGTACTTCACTGTACACAGCCCTTTCATGAGTGCGGCATGGCGGGGGAGGGGAGGGAGCAAGTAGCACTTCAAAGGCCAAGGAGACAAAAACTATTCTCAACATCGCCTTGGCTGTGGCTGCTTTCGACAGTGCTCCTGGTCGCAATGCCACGAGTTGTTCATTCCATGGCTTTGGGAGGGGGGAACTCAGGTCTTCGCCCGCATAATTCGCAAAGTGTATGAGAGGTTTCAGGCTTGTGACTTGGGCACGGCGTCAACAAACGCATCGAACTTGTTGCGGGGTTCCGTACATCTGCCATAATGAAGGTTCTGTCGGGGTCTCTGGGGTCGACGGGACTTCAGATGGCTTCGGGGTGTGGGCTCTCACACTCAGTCCGAGTCAAGGCGTCAGAGGTGACAGGTGCAGACCTACTGGATTTCAATGCTTCGTAGCTTGCGGGTGCTTTGGAACACCTTCACGACTTTTGGCGAATAAAGACCTCTTTCCGTGATGCAAGAAAGGGCAGGAGAGAGAAGTGCTTCTGTCGGGTGAGATCACCACATCTTTGAATGTTCCCTAATGCACGGCCCGCACCTACAAGCTCCGTCTGCGAGGACCAGCCGCCGACTGGGCATAGGCAAAATTGGTCAAAGCAGGGTTTAGGGTTTTTCCCTCCTACCTAGCAAGGACGAAGCCGAGGGTTTAGGGTTTAGGGGTTTAGGGTGAGCCGAAGATGCATTGATTGCTCCCATCCAATCACTACTCAACTCACCAGACCCGCTAGACCCCAAGAAATCTTGGCGTCCTTCTTCTAGCACTTCCAGCATTCATTCACACTGGGGCAGGGCGTCTGCATGTGATCTTAACTCGGGTCTCTCTCACCAGAACCCAGTACTGCAGTAATCGCCTTCCCCTAGCACTGGATCATCCCCCCCAAAGACTTTCCGTGACACATATTTAGCATTAGGGGCTGTGTTATCACTGCCTGCAGTTTCGGGCCATTGCCTGCAGTCCTACGTTCCTGCTGACTGCAGTTCTTAAGAGTCTCCAAGGAAGCCCGAACGCCGAGAGGGAAAGGACGTCAGTTCATATAATGTTCTAGTACAAACTCGCTCTTGCAACCGTCATGTCTCGGATTCAAGAAAAATCCCCAAACCTGAACCCTGAGAGGGAAAGGGACTCAACTCAAACGTAGTAGCACAGAATTGCTCGCTCTTGCATTGTTATGGTCCGAACTGGGAACTCCCAAAACCCAAACTCTGCGTGTGAGAGAGACAGAGAGAGAGAGAGAGAGAGAGAGAGAGAGAGAGAGAGAGAGAGAGAGAGAGAAAGAGAGAGAGAGAGAGAGAAAGAGAGAGAGAGAGAGAGAGAGAGTGAGAAAGAGAGAGAGAGAGAGAGAGGGAGGGAGAGAGCGAGAAAGCTTCGATACTGGTTTAAATGATTGGTAAAAAGTAATAGTTGCAATCGCAGTGCCAAACCCCTTCTGCAGCTGCCTGCTGCAGCCCAGAGCACCCCTGTCAACTCTTGCGTCCGGAACCTCGGAGGGAACGGCTTGAGGCTGCAGCTGCTAACGTGAGGTTTTCGGCTCTCTCACACTGGCGGTTCCAACTATGTGTGACACTCATCCTTCGGGACAGCCAAACACCAGAATGCACCCGAACTGCATAAGGGCAAAGCTGAACCCACGCCCCAGCCGCTTCCACTTCCCCGGACTGAGTACGACTAGTTCAGCATAGCTCCTGTGAGCACTAGAAACCAACAACAAAGTTCATATACAGCGACCCAGACTGAATAGTTGTAGCAACTCGCTGAACCCAGCGAACATCCAGGATGGATGCGTGCTCACACCTCCACACTGTGTGCTTAAACCGTGACACCTTACCGTTGTGACCGATGCACTTGCACGGCCCTGTTCCGAGGAGTGGGTAGAATGTCAGTGAAGAAGCAGGTATCACCAAAAAGTAGCTCAAGCCCTGTGCGACAACAATCGACAAAACCGATTTTTCTTGTCTCTGTTAGAGTCTTTGCGCCGCTGTCGGACATAATATGACAAGCGCAAACCGAGCTTCCTTCAACTTGTGGACCAGCATCGCCAAGCCATGATTACTTATGTGTGCCAAAGGCATGTGGATTGCTACCCCGTCAGGCCGGCGTATGCTCAGCAAGACGCGGCGACGTAGGTTGATCTACAGCATACAGCTCCATCATCACAATGGCTAGGCTAATCTTCATCGTCCTCATGGGCATGATCGATATCGTTCCATGGCAAGGACCATCGGCATGACCTTCGGCATTGCTGATCCTATTAAATTCAAAAATATCACCCAGCATGAGGTCAGGGGCCACCCCGAAGTTGCCGACATCTGCCGACTGCCTCCCGAAGCAAGCATATCTTCCGCTGGGATGACGGATGTCAACATAAATGGGTACATGGATGAATGGTACAGACCGAAAGATAGATAGATAGATCGATGGTAGATAGACAGATGGACGGACCGACAGACAGCCAGACAGCCAGATAGATGGATAGGGCAGATAGGCAGATGGACAGCTAGATAGATAGATAGATAAGGAGGATCGATGGACAGAAGGATGGGTAGATATATCGACAGGTAGATAGGCAAGTCGATAGATAGACCGGCAGACTTCCTTAATGCGGCTTTCAGCCAGCATCGCTCCGGCCCCAGGGTTCTCAGCGAGTTCCCTTTATAAGGCCGAACACGGCTTAATGTGGGGGCCTCAAGAAATTTCGTAGGGCCGAAACGGGTTCTGAGCTTTCTGTAGTATAACAATTCGGAACCCCGAAGAATAGCATCAATGGTTTATGCCCCGTTCTTTGACCTCCGAACATGGAGCCCGGAAGAGATCCAAATTCTCAGGGAACTCGGGGTGAGAGTCTCAACCCGGGTAGCAGAGTAGCAATCTCCTCCTTTCAGGGGAACAGCGTAAGATCAAGGGCCCTGCCCCGATCAAAAACCTCGCTCTGCATCGGTAACTCTGCCTGTTGACCAAAGCATGGCTAGCAGCTGAACCATTGTCGGCAACCCTAACTCCGAATACTGTAATTGAGCAAGGTCACTCTCTTGCAGGGACCTATCCAGTGGGTCAGCGAGTACTGGGCTTCATGTCATGTCAATGCATGCACGGCTTAGGAGGCCCTGAGGCACTCGGTCAGTGGGAGAGACTTCGGCCATTAACTGCTCCCTGGCCGCACTGGCGCCCTGAAGGGTAAAAGCCTCTAGTTCATTGTTGAAATAGGATTAAAAATGTACATTTTTATTCCTTATTGGGTTTAAGTACCCATAAAAATGTCAAATGTTACCCGACAGTGACAAAAGCCTTCTAAAGCCGCTTCCACTCAGGAAGCGGAAGCAATGAGTTCTCGACCCGGTGCTCCCTTTGCGTCGTGGGGCTCTGAGGCTCTACCAAAGTCGTCTCACTGGCAAGTGAAAACTCCAAAAAGCCCCTTGCAACCACTTCATCTAGGAGCATATGTTCTTGCGTTTGCAAGACTCAAGAGGTTCACCGGCAATCCTCAGCGTGGTCGTTTGAGTTCGACCACAGAGAGGCTAAGGAGGCTGCCGCCAGCCGCCTCCGAAGCCGATATGTCCGAGGTGTATGTATGAAACTGGAAAATTCGCGCGAATGTATTTTAAAAGAAAATCCTGGGCGACACCTTCGGTGACGCACGCAGGCGCTCGCTGATTCACTGAAGCAAGAGCTTCGAATGGGTTCTGTAGGTTCTGTTCCAGGGGGGGGGTTGCATGAGCTTCCCAGTCCCGCTGCCCTCGAAAAACTTCGGCTGGTCTATATAGCAGCTGTAACTCAAAGCCCAGACAAGACATAGAAGATATAGAATATATAGCATATCACAAACACCTTGTCAGCCGAAGCACTTCAGGCGCATGGCGCAAAATGGCTCCGACATGTTCGCAAAGAGTCGAGATCCTCTGAGCTGGTCATGAGTAAATTAGGAAACCCGATGCAGCCTATTGCGGCTGGGCCTATAGCGAGTTGATGCGAACAGCTCGGTCGCATGAAATTGAGTTCCACATCAGGTCAAACAGCATCTGCACGTCAATCACAAGACGTGAGTTGCTGGACCTGAAAAGGAAATGACCGCGTCAGAATTGGTTGTCTCAATTAGCACAAGCACCTCGTTGTCTTCGGCGGGCGGCTTTGATGATCTCGGTGAGCACCTTCGGTTCTTGCTCGACCTCCGTTTGGAACAGATTCAAAGCAGTGAGATGTCGAAAGTGCAGTCGACGATCCGGTGGCATTGGTGCACCCTTCACTGCATGATTCGTCTTCCAACTGTCCGAGTCCCAAGAGGACCAGTCGACCTTTGCGGTCTCTGTTTCATCTCCCTCTGGAACGATAAGTGTGCTGTCGGAGCGCGAATTCAAGATGCCCGCTGGCTTTGGCTTCTTGACAAGCCCACGATGCAAGTCCGTCGTTTCAGACATCGTCTGCTGCTGTGAAGCTGACACGAGATCGTCGAATGACGACGTGCCGCCGGATGGAATCGGGTGCACTTGACATGTGCTGGCTCCGCACCCCATGATGCAGAGCAAGCAAAATTCTCACAAGTGCACGGCGAGAGGCGCTACTTGCACAAATGCCTCCCGTGTAGAATCCGAACCAAAGGCCGCGGCAGGACACTATCGAGCACTTCCACCCACACCCTCAGCCCATGTTGGTCGCAAGCTATGATGTGCTCCGGACACAGACCTGTACTATAACTACAAAATAACTGTCATAATAACATTAATAACTATGATAATTAACTCTGCCGGAGACCGGCAAACACACAAACCCCTCAGCCACACATAGCCCTGGCCTTCGGCATACATGTTCAACTCTCTTGAAACCCTGAACCCTTACCCCTAAACCATCCTAAACCCCTATACCCTTTTTGCATCCAGGCCTATTGCGACTGCCGGGTACCCCTGAAGCCCTATACCCTAAACCCCTAAACCCTATACTCTAAACCCTATACCCTAAACCTAAACCCCTGTAACCTATAACCCCTAAACCCCTATAACCCTACCCCTAAACCCCTATAACCTATAACCCCTAAACCCCTATAACCCTACCCCTAAACCCCTGTAACCTATAACCCCTAAACCCCTATAAACCTTTGAGAACCTCAAACGGACGCCCCCGGGGATCTCCGGCTCGGCAGCCAATGCGATGCCCTTCCCCAAGAGGTGCCCGGGAACCTGCGACAGCTACTCGGCTTTTACGCTATATGGCAAAGGGTTTAAGGTTTAGGGTACACTAACACCAATAATATGCATAGAGACTACTAGCCGTATGGTATCATGCCATAATTTATAATGTAAGATTCTTCTAGGGGCCTACTAAAATTTACTAAAATTCGTCTTTACGGCACTTTTTCGGTAGTCGGTGCTGCGGGGGCCTCTGGAGCTTCCAAGGGTGTTAGGGCTTGAGGCGCTTCGAGTTTTTTGGGCTTGGAGGGTTCTTGGAGGTTCAGGGGTAGTTAAAAGCGGGAATATAAGTCCCCCTAATATGGGTTATAAGTATAGTTACCCTACTTAAAACCCTACTTATAAGTACCCATGAACCTCCAAGTTGAGCCCACCCCATGTGATATAGAGGCCTTAAAGAATAAGATGCAGGTGTCGAGACTATTGACGACGTTGACGATGATGCGGAAATGAGCGAGTCTGAAAACTGAAAGGGGGAAGGTATAAGGGTTTGGGGTATACTGTGCTAGAACTATAGTAAGGTTTGTTTCTCTTTTGTTTTGATGTGGGGGCTTCTCTTCGACTAGCAGGACGCTGCGGTACTGGTTTAGGGTTTTCACGCTGTAATAGGGGCCTTAATAATTAGAAGAGGGTTTTGGGGCCCATTATGCTATACTTATAATAGGGAACCCCCAAAATAGTATAGGTAACTATTTAGGCTGTAGGCCCCTTTACTATTCTAGTACCCTTATAGACCCCCTTTTTTTGATCCCTTTAAAGGAGCCCGCAAAAATGGAGGGTTTCGGTGCTCCTACCCAGGTTTTGCATAGGCGCGGATGTAGGGCTCTAGGACACCACTTGTACTCGTAGGGCACAGGATCCAAAACGTCTTGGCTGTTTTCTGATAGCTGGCCCAGCCTGAAGGTCAGAAAGAGAAGTGTCATACTACTATAACCTTTCTGAGTTGTCCTTTAAGCCCTTTGAAAATTATTTACTATTATGGTTCTCTAAAAAATAGTAGGGGAAATTAAAAAAGATCCCAAAGCACAACCCAGCTTTATTATAAGCAGAAAATGTGTAATGACAGTATGGTGTCATATCATATATTTAAGAAAGACCCCCTGAAGAACAGGACCTCTCACAGCTGGCCTCTTCCGGAGGCTGGTGAGCCACCTGCGAAGGGGTTGAAGCATAGGGATGCATAGGGTTTTATGGCTCCAAGATTCAAGATTCAAGCGCCTTTGGAGTCGGGTAAAGCGAATTCTGGAGATAACCGGCTGGTGGTGGACGTGATCTTGACACACATCCACATCGTGTGTGCCAGCTACCAGCGGGGATAGGGGCTGATGATCTTGGCTACACACTCCAGGATCTTAAGGGACGACAGCTTGTGATAGCGCACACGTGTGTAAGCCTCCGACAGCAAAGGACCAAAGCACATTGGCGACATGCTGCGTACCTGGGGCTCTTTTGCATTCTAACTCCCATGCTGTCTGCAGGACGTTTGCAAGGATGTGAAAATGGCTTGCGGCGAGAGCCTCGCAAAGAGCTCTGAGCCACAGACCCATGGCTTGGATATTCCTGGGCCCACGCAGCAAAGCCTCTCTCAGCGAAGATTCTGACCTTTTGCAGTGCCCTAGCCCCCAGAGCAAGCGCACCGAAGCTCCGAATCTAAAATCCGAACCCTTTTGAACCCTTTTTGAACGAGGTCTCTCTGAAGTGCCTCCACGTTGCCGGCTTCATCGATAAACCACAAGCCCTTTGTTGCACAGACTTGTCCAAGGCCGCCTTTATCTTAGAGCAGCTGCACTCACCCTACAATGCGAACCTCAAACCCTCAATGATGCAGCAGTCCCCAATCGAAGTCTGACTCTCAAAGTGCTCAGAACCCCTTTTAAAACGGCCTCACTTCCCCCGCCATATCTCTGCTATCCCCTCTACCCTGAAAATCCCTCAAAAACCCTGTAAACTCTAGTCTACTCTCTACACGCTCTGATACCTACAATCCCCAACAACATGCCAATCCCAAAGCCTACAAGTATCAGCCCCACAGCCTGCAACCTTTGAAAGCTCCAAACTCTAAACCCTCCTAGAGTAGAAGCCAGAAAGTTGGAACATCATTATCCTCATTCCCTTAAGGGTAAAGTAGAGGGAATCCTAGCACTAATCATCCTAAACTCATGTTCCAACTTTCTGGCAAACGGCTGCGTCCCAACCTCTGAGTTCGCGACCGGTCCTCTGCCAGCCAGGCTGTGGCGGCACGGAAGAGCCCAGGCCTTCTCTGGGTTCTCGGTTTTTGTTGCTTCCTTGGCCTATTTTTGGAGGTTCATGGGTAGTTATAAGGGTCCCTTTAAAGGGATCTATAGGGATTCTATAAGGGCATGGGGTTCAGGGCCTACTTGGAGGTTCATGGGTAGTTATAAGTGGGGTCGTTAGTAGGGTAAGTATACTTGCAACCCATATTGGGGGGGACTTATAACCCCAAAAAAAAAACTACCCCTGAACCTCCAAGTATATTTAGATAGCTAAAGCTGGCTGAGGCGGGTATTAGGTATGGCAGGAAACTTTGAAAGGGATTCCCGTCTTCCTACCGCCACTCTTCTCCCAGCCACAGGACTTTACAGTGACTTTACAGCTGTACCGTGCCTTACTTCAGGCTTTTTGAGGCTTAGAACCAAGGTTGGCTTTGAGAAGAGGCGTCATTCCGCTTGCATAATGATCCGCAGCATTGCTGCTTCTGCGAAGGGGATGCTCAGGCAGTCGCTATTCGCGCATGCTCCCCTCACCAAGCCGAGGGAGTCCACTCCAGAACCAACCGATCTGCAAAAGAGGTAGAGGCATCTGACTCGAGCCTGGCGGGCTAAGGAATGAGCTCATGGAAGTTGCCTTTGGAGACTGCCCACACCACTGCAGACCTTAGCCACAACATGTAGGTCATGTTGACATTGTGCCCACTTCAGAGGTGAACTCTAACGCCTGCTCGGCGAGAGGAAGATTCGGCAGAGTGTACTCAAGCCACATGCCAAACAGCTCTCCACCGCTGCAACTTCTCCAGCACGGCTCCGATCTGGCTAAGCTACGGGAAAAGCCTACGAAGCTCTGGGAAGGAGGCAGTTGAGTTGCACCGAACTCATGGATCTGTTCGCTCGCCTGGCAGGCTGCAAGTTGACCCTGGCACTCAACGGTCGTCCGGCAATTCTGCATCTGAGTGCCTGCGTTGCAAGAGTGCAACAATGTGGGTGTATGTTTGGCTCCCGCATGGCAGTCCCGAGGGTCTGTAGGGTCAGCAGCAGATAACAAAACAACAAGTCTTACAACATTAACTTTGCGAGCGGCGTCAAGCTAGAAGCACGACACCACGGCAGTTCCTCACTAGGGGCTTAGCTGCCTTCGTGCACTGAAAGCATGCCGGGCTCGCGGACAGGGCCACTTGATCTGCGAGGTGCCTCTCAGGACACCAGGGTAAAGGCTTTTTGGCACTCGCAACTAGGGCTCGGGGTTGTTTGGGTTTAGGATTCGGCTCGTTGAATCTGTACTGTATCTTAGGCTTGAGACGGGGTTGGAAATGCGAGCTTCCGTTGCAAAGCCTGTCTTCGAGGTCTTGCCTGGTACGGTAAAGCCTTGATTGAAGCAGGCCCTCGCAGTACGGCGCTCACTGTGTTCAGTCGTCTCTGCTAACCCCCATGATTGGTCCACCTGTATCAGCAGATGAAAACATCAACCATCATCAACAGCTACAGCATAGTCGTGCAGCCTGTCTGCGGCTGACAGCATCACCGCAGCCCACATGAAGTTTGCGTGGTCCTGATGTGGCAGCCCGGTGCTTAAGCTCACGCCGGCAGAAGGTCCTGTTGTCTTGATTTCTTGGACTTCTGCACCAGCTGGTCACTTGCGGATGTCTACAGCTGCAGTCAAGCGCAATAAGGCAATAAGCAGTTACGCGAGCGGCAAGGCCTTCCAGCACTACCGCTGCAGAGCTTCGGGCGAAATAATTGGGCTTTACTTGCAGAGCCTGGTTGGCCACAAACCTTGCAAAGAACACTAGAAAAGCTACAGCAGCAAGCCTGGCCTGACAGCCGACCATGGTAGTAAGAGTGGTGCGAGTGCGAGTATGAAAGCAAGAACAAAGCCCAAGACACCATTAAGGCGCACGAAAAGCACGGGCAATGTACGATGATGGGTCGACTGCTCCTGTGGATTGCAACGCGCCAGCTGCTTCAGCAGCTGCGTGCTCAATGCAGCCACTGTTTTGGCCATCTGGGCACCTCCTGGCCGGCGCAGGTAGATATCAATGTGGCAATCCCACAAAGCATCCCAGTAGCAAGCTCACTGTCGCCCTATAATGACTTACCACAATCCAGGGAGAACTTAACCAGTTCAAACTAGATAACGTTGAGCGATACCGGTGCTGCAATGAGTTGATATGCGGTGAAAGCAAACAGAACAAAGCTTAGAAAGAAATTGCATAATAAGCAGCAGCGCAAAGCCTGCTGGACTGATATTATCGACGCGGCAGTTGTGACTGCAGCAGTGGGCGGAGAATATGGATGGTGGAGAGGTTTCTCCAAACAGGCCGGCCAGGCTCACGTGGACTGTGGTGGCGGCAAAAGCCTGTTCGTGAAGCACACCATGTCTGCCAGAGCAGCAACATGGTTGCTAACTGCTGTGTCGAACATACACCTCGTTCAGATTTGGAATCGTCGAGAAGCTGGGTGGCCGACCCAAAGCAAATTGCACCTAAGCAGCGTCCAAGACGATTCCGTTTGCGGAGTCTGGGCTTGTCATGGCAGTCCCGTCCCTGAAGGACTCCATCCGAAGCTTAAGTGCACCATCACACTGACAGGCTGCTATGCATACTGCTGGACGAATCCTGCACTAATTACCGTGAGTACCCTGAACTATATAGGAATTAAGGGCATCAATATATTCCGGGTAATGCGAGATTTGTCATACATTCTATTTCGGCTTCGGACCTTGTGACAAGACGCAACGGACGAGGGAGCAGACTCAGACTGAGACTGCTTTCGCCTCAAAGCCGGCGCGAGCTGCACTCAGGCCATCGCGCCTCTTGCGGTTTGAACTGTTGCTGGGCCTCCCAGGCCGGCCTGCGGCGATGGATTGCGAGCTCCGAACGCCGAACGCCCACCCTCAAACTCCGCAAACTTTCACTGTCATAACGCGTGCACGCTCGCACATTCACACCGAGGCTTGCTCCGAGCCACAAGTCAACCCAAACCGAAGCACCGGATGGTCTATGCAACCGAGGACCACCTGCCAGTACGAAGTCCCAAAGCCTGACTCCAACCAACCCAAAGGGTCCAAGTATCATTATGGTATATACTTATAGGGTATTTTGGGGGTCTACAGTATATACTGATACTTGGACCCTGTGGGCAAAGGTGAAGAGGCCTGGCAAAAGCCTCAAACTGCTCCGGACTGCTCGCAGACATCTTTGCCATCGCCTGCCCGGGCTGTTTGTGTTTGGGCAGTTCATGGAGTGTGTGCTAGGTACGAGTAGGGCTCTAGGTGTGAAATGGGTGTCGATAACATGCGGCGTCTGCTTATGGATATGATGTAATTCCTGCACTGCCAAGTCCTGCTTACAGCGATTCATCAAACATTCATCATTAAACCAAGGTGTTCGACGGCAGAGCTGATATTGGTCTGTATGTGTGAGGCTTTGCCACCTATCCAAAGCACTCTCAGAGCAATGATGAGTCATTCAATATATCCGACAACACTTCCTCACCTGCAGACCAAGATTTGAAACGTCTTGCAACAAGAGGATGCAACTGCACAACTCTTGATCTAGTCTGCGCATCGTTTGATTCACACGGCAGCTAGCTTCAGAAGGCACACTGGCGGCAAGTCTTGAGTTGCACAGTTTTGGCTTTGAGTTTCCTCATTGGGTTCACGCTATTTTCCCTTCGTGGCAACAACAAGCAACCTGTTCGGGGATTTGCAGGTGGGGAGCGGCAAGACCTAGGACCCGGAGAGAGCAACTTACCGAATATGTCAATCTGGCAACTGGACAGCCTTCATCCTTCTTGTATATAAGAGACGTCGCCTTGTATTGGATCGTTTAGGTATGTTTAGTTTCGGTCATAGTCTGTCATGGCTTGGTCAAACAAAGCGAAAGATCCGACCTGCACACGCCTATCATGTCCGACACATCTTCCACACCGGCGATCCCCAGAAAACGGTGAAGAGAGGCAGACCCACGCAACGTTGGCAATGTGCTGCGGCGCGAAGTCTTGGATGCGGCCCATCGTTGCAGAGACCTGCAGAAGATGAAGGAAGCATCGATACGCTAGTGTGCCTCAGCGGCCTAAATGACCGGAATACGCGGGGTCACTGAGAAAGTCTTGCTACAAGAGTGGCGCTATAAACGAACACTGCAAGATAGTCCCGCAGCAGTGCACGTACTGCGAAATGCCCTGTCGTGAAGACTATGAGCTTATCTGTTTCGTGGGTCCCAGGATTGGATCACCTCAAAGGCACATGGCGCTCCAGCAATCTTGTTGCACGCAACCCTGCAATCCTTAGTCGGTGAATAGGTGAAACGGACATGTGATATATGTTCGATTCCATGGAGCCACCTTTAAGGGCAAGTCAGCTTGCAGAAAGCTTCCCAGCATGCAGCAAGAAGACCGCTGCTGAAGGCTGGAAAAGCGCCTTCGCCAACTGTTGCAGTTTAGGGTTTAGGTTCACTGTTGTTTTTGCCACCTGTGACAGCAGTTGTGACACCAACAGTCATAGTCGTGACGATAGTAAACCAAGAACTGGGCCAGAGCCATCTGCTCCTTGAAAATGACGAACTCCATGTGGTCTACTACTCCGCCATGCTCCTTTGTCAGAGCAGTGATCGAGTCGTAAGGCTCACCGTGCTGAGTCTCCGGTGCTCTGGCTCTTCCGCGGAGATCCTCCTGGGTGACCAGCATGCTATCTCCAAGCAGCACACGTGCCACCACAATACATCGCTCTCCGTGCGGATGCGAGCAAGACTTCGAAGTGGCATCGTCATCACACTCTGAACAAGTGGTGTAAAAGTCAGACTTTGAGGCATTCTGGGCAAAGTAAGTTCCTCTTCCAAACAAGTCTCCAACAACTTCGCCTCCTCGCTGCGGATCAAAGCCTCGCCTGACTATCTGCTCGCTGGCATGAGTGGAGCAACCATGGAACAGGAAGTACTCATTCAAGTCGAGAGCAGCCGTGCCCAAACAGCTGACAGCAGTAATGTCAGGTATCGCAGGACATCCGTTTGGATTTCGCTGCAGCACCTCCCGTCGTGCTGCTTCGTACAATTCCTGCCGGACTGGATTCTTCACTTCGACAATCCGAGTAACCTCGACAAGAGGCGGACGGCACCAGGTTTGCGACTGCATATCGTAGCGATGCCTCGTCATAGAAGACTTGAAAGCATCGCTCAAAGCAGCAAACTTGACCTGGTCCTCGCTCCAATCCTAAAGCCCTTCTTCAGGCCGCTTCAGCTCACGCTCACTCACAGCTTGAAGTGCCGTCGAACAGTCAGGTCGTCTTGCAATTGCTTGCCGTCCCATCTTCCCCAACAATCGCCACATTCGCCAGTTGAGGCCCTGTGCAGTTGCATGTCTCTGCTCCGTCTAGCAGGTCGAATGGTTTCCTGCCCTTGCTGAGTCCTAGCTATCTTTTTAGTTAGTGGTTCGGACATCTACAAAAAACAAACCGACATGCCCACCTGCTCAGACCGAAAGTCATGTCTGAGGCGCCGCAGCTCTTCAGCCACATGCTCCTTCTGCGAACGCTCTTCATCCAACTGGTACTGCAAATTTGCGATCCATTCATTTAAGGAGCTGATCTCGTCTTTCATTGCTTTCTCCGCCTGCTGGTGGGAGATGAACTCATGGTCCCGTTGCCACTGGAGGCGCTCAGCACATCCGGCTGCACCTTGGTGCATCTCTCGAGCTGCTCGTAGCCTTGCTATATCGAGCTCATGCTGGTCTCGTTCGGCAGCCAACTGCTCTTGGAGCTGCATGTTCCAATCTGACAGTTGCTTCATCTCACGCTGCCTTGCATCACGTTCCTGCATGTCGGAGGCGTCGCTGTCAGGATCTGCAGCATGCCGTTCCGTGTCTTCTGTGCGTCGAATTGGCCTACCCTTGCCTGTGGCCTGGTTCGTTTGGGTCATCCAGCGGAAATCGATGACGTACTCATACTGGTGAATGCATACAGTGCATGTGGACTTCCAAGCTTGGTAAGCCTCTTCTAGACAGCGCCCAGCATCTGCTGGGTACTGCATCCACATGTCTGGCGCTTGGACCTGGAATTCCCAGCATGGGGTGCAAGGAGCCAGCCTTTTCGCTGCTCTCTGTGTCGACACCTGCATAGCCGACGGAGTTCAGGTTCCCTAACCTGGCAACCGCTTATAATGCCCCGAAAAAATCACCCAGAACAGGCCGGACACCAGGCCTCCAACAAATCAGCATGCATGTTACCTGATAGCTACCTTTGTGAGTGTGTTCTACAATCATGTGGCCGCATCGTCGTCTCGTCCGCATGAGACTCGAGCCGACACACCGGTGGTGAACAGAAAACACGGGCTGCCATGCTTGTGGAACGTCTCATCTGCCCTGCACTGAGCCCGGCTATCTCTCACATTTGACTGCTCCAAGGACCGAGCTATATGCTCGACGTCGGATGTGGCCGCGACCTTGGCCATTGCCCAGACCTCAGTTCTACGTGTCCAAGAGTTTGAAGCCGACCGGTCCAAATCCGCAGATGTGATGTGGGACCACATGCCAGCCTTGGTTTCGAGGGTTTAATCGAGCGAACGTTGCGAGAAGATTAAGGTAGAGAGGGAGGTCGAACAGTCGGACATCTGATGCAGACCTTCAGCTTTGAGCCCTGACGTTCGTTCAGCATCAGCAACGAAGTGCTGTAGAGTCTAGGCCCAAAGACTTGATACGATTGCATGTAGTGCTACGTTTCCGTTAGAAACCCGATTCAAGGTAAGGACACCCTATAGCAAAAGGAAGCAGCCGCTACTGCGCGGGAGGTCTGCGAGGTTGCAGAAAAATTGAACTACAATCTGTTGTGTTGGGCCTGTAGAGATAAGATGACTCTTCTAGTCTTGATGAGCTTCCGCAGCTTTTTACTGCTGTCTGACCCCTTCCTGGACTGTGACGACAGGGGGACGCCGTCGTCCTACGAAGCTGTACTTCCTGAGCTTTCAGCTCAGCTGAGAAAGTGCACGTAATTTTGCCACCCCTTTCGGGAGTGAGTGCCCTAGATGACGCAAGCAGTGCAATCCACTCATCCCGTGGCATCGAAATAAGCTCGTGTGTCCTTGCACGTTACCAATGGTCTCGACTATTGTTTGTTTGCAGTGGCTTTATTGATTGGACGGGGCGGTCACATGTTTGCCTGGAATGCTGCGCGAGATTCTAAAAGGTCAGCCGTACTGGATGACAAGAAGGGATTCGAAGGTACAAAGCAGTCCAGCAAGAAGCAAAAAGAACACATACCACTAACACCGACAAATCGGACTTTCTCGTCACATTCGTCAACAGCATAGCAGCTGGCCGAAACAGCTACACAGAACGCCGGACGTAGTACATCTTACTATCTGGAGTTTGGGTGATCTTGAAGCTGCAAGCTAAACGGCAGCTGATGCCCTCGTAGTAGATGGTCTTCCGAGTTGATGTGTGGTTGCAGAAACGCTTCGTCTATGTCGGCATGTCGGCCTTTAACCGCCAAGGCTCTTGATCCTCCCTCACAGCTACCACTAATAGTTATAGTAATAGTAATAATGATAGTAGTCATAATAATAGTGTGGTAATAATTCCACTAGTAACAATAATGACACGAAAGCTTTTCTTCGTCTACTGTCGGCCCGGCAGTGAGGGAGGGAGCATGTCCGCGCCACGCGCGCGAACACAAAACCTATCTCCATTACCCCATGGAGTCACACCCAGTCATACAAGGCAGCTGTCATCTGCTAAGCTGGTGGTGTCCAAAATCCTATGAACAAGGAGGTGGATGGTATAATTGTTGGAATGGGCATGGTGTCTTGCTGCGACGACTGCCTTGTTTGCCCCCTGAGTATTCACCCCAAGCGATCTGCTGCCAGTGTCGGCAGCGCTCCATATGTAGGACAAACCAGGAACCGCTGCCCGCCACAAACAAAGATCAAAACCTGGAAACCGTCGTCGAGCCCACTTAAACCACACGTGATATGTCTGCCAGAAACATCTCACCACATCTCACCTATGCTGCAGGACACTTGAACCCACAGAGATCATCAGATAGGCGGGTCACTCGAACAAACACACTACTAAACTGCTGCTGCCTTTCAGCTGCCCCACACACTCTTTGCTGTTTTGCATTTTGCAGCAGGATCTTAATGTAACAGAATATTCTTACCTGTATGAGCGCTGATACCGCACGCGCCGCAGACGCCTACCCTCAGCTGCGCATCTCGAAGATGTAGTCGAACCTGGGAACACCCCACGAAATGAATTGCCGCCCGCAGTAACTGGCATAGAGGGAATATGCTGGGCGAGACTCTCCGGGCAGCCATGTGACATGCAAAGGTCGAGGGCCCCTGGATCACTAACCAAGTCTGGAAGACGGGTAGAAGCACTTGGAAACTGAAATGCCCTGTAATGACATACCATGAATAAGTAAACATACATATATATATATATATATATAGATACATAGGACGATGCTCGTGGCTAATCACATTTTCATGCTTTTGTGCTCGTATTCTGCACCCCGTCATTGAAGTTGTTTTACTAAGCTCTGCGCCTTCAGCTGCAAGGTTGGAAGGTACGGAGGCTCTGAACAACATGAAGCCGGAATACATGCGATCCGTAGCCCTAGATTAATTTCACCGAGGCCCTACTACTGCACTATGTTCAGGACTATTCCTGCTGATCTCTTACTTCGAACCCTATGTAAGAACAATCCAAATTATAGGTCCATGTCCATTGATCGCGCCAGGGTACTCTGGCTGTGGCGATGGAACCCCAAAGGTGACGACGTCGCCGTGTTTCAGAGCCTCTCAGAAGGAACCGAGCTCGGGTTAGGGCTTGCACCTCCGAGCACTTTTATATAGAACCTGGGAACTACTTCTTGCCTAGCAAAGCCTACCGACATGAATTGCCTACCAGGAGGCTTACCCAGAGAGGCTGGCGGCTTCGGCTTCTGCGGCTCTGGAGCTTACCGAAGAGTTATAAGATGGAATCGCACGAAGACAGCACAGCCATCTAAATCTGAAATAGCCGGACACTCGGACATGCAGCTTCAGTGCTGGCAATATCTGTCATACTCAACAAAGAAGCTTCCGGTGGCCATCCCCCCGTGCCGTCTGTTGCAAGCTGTCGATGCCATCGTTGTGGTTTTCATGTGCAGACCCGGGCGATTCTGAAGCTGCCGCAGCCGCACGCGGCTATGGCTGGTCTGAAGCTCTACATGGCCGCACCGGCAGCCACCAAAGGAAGTGTGCCTGCTTCGAGCTGATGCGGGTACCGTTGATGTGCACGCCGTTGAGAGAGCCTTGGTCCTTGGTCTGCAATTGCGGCTTCGTGCTACTTCAACGTTCATATAAGCCTTAGATTTTGTTTATGGTGTCTACTGCTTGTACAAACTATTGTAATATAGGGGTTTACAGCTCACACAGTCTCGCACCGGCTGGAACTCCAGTTTTGGGCTGCCCCTCACCACCTACCCTTTGGCGTCTCTCCCTTGCGCCACCATATGGGTATCCATCATCAGCTCGACATCTTCGTTATCCTCATCAGCCGTCAACTACAGCACAAGGCATTGGCGCATGATTGACAACTGTACCTCCATGGCTGGGTAGAGGATAGCAACATATAAAGCAACGACCGAAAGTAGATCAAGGTCCGTTCAGAATTACGGCCCCTTGTATAGAGCGTCAATGAGCATCATAGAGGAACTCGCTGGAAGAGAGCGAGGTGGTGAGTGCAGTCTGTAGTGATGTACTGGGCCTAAGACCAAGCTGAATTCGGTCTGGGAACAAACGAACTCATCAGGTCGAAGCCTACAATCGTGTGCAATTCCCCACAAACGAGTGATGCCAATGTCGTCCAACGACTTCGGCCGGGTGGCTTCGATCATGCAACTCTCATCCTCCACTGTCACCACGGCATGTGATCGCCTTCGGACCGGCCGTGCTTGTACTGTATCAGGCCCTGAATGATTAGAATAGCGTGCATTCTACAATTTCTCTATACTGGTTATGACTCCGACTATGAGGGGCTTTTATGATACGAGATAGAAATAGAGGCATACATGCTGCATGCCTTCGGAGCATGCGCATGCCCAAGGTTCCCGAAGCGCGAGGCGCTCCGCAAAAGCTGGAGATCTGCGGTGTAAGCGTAACATGCCGCAGTCTGAGGATAATGTAGGGGCCATAATAATAGAAAAGGGTTTGGGGGCCATTATACTATAATTAGAAGAAGGAACCCCCCCCAAAGAGTATAGGTAATTTTTTAGGCCTTTATAATAGAGGAACTTACAACCATCGAGGCTCCAACGAGATCATCTGTGGAGTCAGCGACGAGTCTAGGATGACCTGATGCGATGCCCGGATTCGTAGCAGGGTGGGCTCAAGGTCTGATACACTACTTGTATGCGATGAACACTACAGGATCTAGTCTCCATGAAGTGGAGCTGAAAAGAGCCGCGCTTGTTCTTCTTCTGACGTCTTGACAGTGCGTGAAGTTGCTGGTGCTGTAAAGTGCAGGTTTCCATACATGCAATGCAGCACGTGACACAGCCTGAAGCCCTACAGTGGTGCCTCTGCAGCGCCGAAAAGCTCGAACAAAAAACTGACAGCTGGATGAACACGACAACCTGGGCCTTCTGCATCGCAGGCTTCGCCCCGGCCTAGGTTCGTGTTTAACCATTGGACACAGGGTTGGGTGCAACGGACCTGGCTCGATTGTTTGGCTCAAAGTGGAAGTGCCTGTCGATGTCTAAACAACATGACAGCAGATCGGCAATCTGCTCTTGCGAACCTTCTGAGTGCCGGCCGGGCGGAACATCAACGAAACTCTACAACACCCTCTCAAGAGCACTAGATGTTTTTTGTGATCGGGAATAGCAAGTTTCTAGTCTATTGACTTTTGAAGAGAAAGGCCCAGAAGGAAAGCTGAAAGAAAGCGGGACTGAGGTCCAAGGCCGATCAACACCCGATCCACCAGGGAGATCACCGAGGGCCTCAGGTCTGTTTTTGTTAAAGCGTCTTTTGGGGCCTTTTAGGGTTTATGGGTTTATCTCTGACATGGGAATGGAGATATTATGATGATACTGCGTAGGTCATGGCGCGCTGACCGGCATAATTACTCCCATTGCAAC